GGGTAACCGGTTACTTGGAAGCTCACCCGACTGTCTGTATATATATATATATAGTAGATGGTTAGTCCATCTTTTCCAATGGATTATAAGATATTATAAGTGACATGAGCACGAAAAAATCAACCACCAACACGATTCGTGGGATGATCCTCCAAGTAATTTGATGTAATTTGGTGATGTAATCACCTGTTGAAAAGGAATTATACTTGCCCTTCCCCAAATTAACATAGACTCTGCCATGAGTTGGGGGGTGGAAGATGCGTTTCCAGTACAACAACAACATGCTCTATCAGAATCGTCTGCGTCTGCGGTAACTGCGATTGTAAAAGTTGAAAAGGAAACAAAGTCCAGACAAAACTGGTTGGTGGTATACCTACCCCTCTGAAAAATGATGGACTTCGTCAGTTGGGATGAAATTACATTCCCAATATTAATGGGAAAGTCATAAAATTCCATGGTTCCAGTCACCACCAACCAGATATATACATCATTGATTATCATTATTAACCACTATCAACCACTATTAACCCCTCAATAAATATATATATACTACAGTTTCCAGAAAATAACTGAAGTTGCGTATTTCTGCACATCTCCAGTATCCTCCCAGCACCGGTAATATGCTGAGATCGGACCAAAAATCTTCCCACAAGATCTCGTCCGAAATTTCGTCGTCATCATTCGTCATGTTGAGTCACCGAAAAAATGCGTAAACCCTAGGGTCAAATGTTGCGTCCATAACAGTTCTGTGGCAAAATCCCATGAAAATACCCTCTGGTAATTTAACATAGCTATTGAAAATGGCCATTTATAGTGAGTTTCCCATTAAAAATGATAATTTTCCATAGTTATGTTAGTTTGCCAGAGGGTAGATCATTGTCCTAGAAAAACCATGGCAATTCATGGCTTCCGTTGATCCATCGCCGAACGACCTTGCTCTTGGCCGCCAACAAGGACGTGAGCCCCGCCAGGCCGTTACTCTGAAGCAGCTGGTCCTCCACCGGTAGACCGATAAAATTTTGAGACCCAAATACCATAAAGTTATCAGGGATACAACATAATTATACTGTATTACAATGTATTACACTGTATTATGTGTTTTTTTGTTCATGTTCATTAGACTGATATTTAATCATATCATATATCTATATATATAAATATACAATGGAAAATCATCTAGAAAGTATCCAACAAAACAAACAGCCAAAAAGCAAGGAGTTAATGCCATGACAATCACGAGATCCGATCGTGGACGATTTTCGTTGTCGCTTTGTTGCCAGCCTTCACCCAGCTCTCCGGCAGGCGATGAGTTACCAATCTTTGAAAATCTTGGAAATGTCTGAACCATGTTAATTTCAATTATGGAAATCTGTGTATAATTGTTAATTTCAATTCTGGAAATTTACCAATCAATTATGATAATCTGTAAAATATTGTTAATTTCAATTATGGAATTACAGTATATTACAGTGTTCAGATTCAGATGTATTTAGATATATAAACAAATAAACAGAACATTTATAGAATTCTCTAAACACCGTCCTTCCAATATATCCAATCTTAAAATCCTCATTGAGTGGTCCCGATGACCCATGGCCCAATGGTAAGACCCCCCGGAAAATCCAGCCGTAAACTCCTCCGATTGCAGGAATGGCTCAAGGACCAGAAGGCCAAAGTGTGCCAGGTCCACCTGGCAACAAAACGTGGAAACCGCGTGGAGAAAAAATCCAGAAGCTAAGGACTTTTTGTGTAGGGTCTTTGTAGGCTTATATAGGGTTTAGGGTGATGTAGGGTGCGCGACGCTAGAAGCGATCAAGTCTGTATGGTCCGATTGTTGGTTCTTCAAACATGTCAAACTATGGCACCCTGTCGAACAAAATTGCGTTGATTAAGGAAGATACCAAAGTGTATTGGGTCCCTTTCAGGTCTTCAATTCTTCAATCACCAAAAACCTCTGGGATGATCTCGAAGGATCTCATATTGCGCAATGCAACGATTCTCATGGGGGGTATCGAGGGCCCCTCAAGATACCCCCGGACAACCACCAGGATGTGGTTTCTGGATGTTTCTGGGATTAAAAAGCAGCAAGTTGCTGGGGATGACTGGAAGCTTTTTTAGCGCATCTAATTATCGATGAATCCCGAAAAAAGAATGATGATGTTCCACAGATGAGTTGACTCATCAGGGTCTGCAGCAATTCACCAATCCGATGGGGCTACCATCGGAACCGATGGGGCTACCATCATCAGATGTGTGGTGTCGCCACGTCTGAGGTATGAATCCGAGCTCCTTGGCTCCCGTAGCATCGAACCGCTCCAAACCAACAGTTGGATTACTATCACCAATATGTTTCTAGATCATCACCAATAGTGACTCACCATTTTGGCCAACATCTAACATCATCTAACATCTAACATCTGAAAAACCCACCATGATCATCCCCTGTCTTCCTGGCTGAACATCCCATCGTAACCTCGCCTTCATCTGCTCCGGTCGATCTTCATCATCCGCCAGCAGGGCGAAGACCTCCGCCAGCAGCCCCTGCAGCAAGTCCTGTAGCGGGCTGTGCAAGGCCGACTCCAGGCACTTCTGAAGGCATCTGCTGGGGACCACCGCAGCACCTGGGGACCATTGGAGACCCTGGGGATGGCTTGGAACGTGGCGGCTGGAAAACCCCTGGAAAATGGGTGGTTTTACCCTGGTGTTACCATGGAAAAACGTTGTGAACATGCCGATTTCCCTCGGGAAACATGGCTCGAGTCAGTGGGGGTACCGGGCCAGGAGTAGCAGCTATGCCGCTATGCTTCTGTTAGGATTCGAGAACCTTTGCCCTGCGGCAATCCCAGCAATCAATTATGGCAACCTGGAAAATCCACCACTTATAGATATTTACAATATCTGGTTGGTGGTATACCTACCCCTTTGAAAAATGATGGAGTTCGTCAGTTGGGATGAAATTACATTCCCAACTGAATGGAAAAATAAAATTCATGTTCCAAACCACCAACCAGATATTTACGGTATTTTACAGTTGTTTTCCCGTGAAAACATTCATCAATCCTGCGAAATTTTCCACAAAGATTACCGAAGGCTAAATCAAGAAACTGGCGGCAATGGGACCCTGAAGCTGGATACCCTCTGGTACACATACAAAAAACTATGGAAAATCACTGTTTTCAATAGGTACATCAACTATAAATTGCCGTTGTCAATAGCAAACTCTTAGTCTACCAGAGGCTATTTTTGGGTGTCACCGGGTTTCAACTATAAATTGCCATTGACAAAACTGTTAGTTGACCAGTGGGTATGTCTCATGTCCCAAACCGCTGCACCTTTGGACCCCAGAAGTCGCCGAGCGTCGCAGATGCCGTGCAGAGCCACCTGCGGCGTAGACCCAATTTTTTGGGTGGAAAAACATGGGGAAAAAACAAAACTCCCGTGGTCTATGACCATTTTCCAAAACTGCCTTTTTTTAGGTATCTCCAGGGTATCAGACACCAAGATGAATTTGGTTACTTTTTAGACGAGCCCAGGGGCAGCTTTTGGAAAATCCGAAAGTTTGGGCCATTCAACCATCACCGAAACCAATTCATGCTAACCCGGGATTGATAAAGCCCCAATTCTTTAATGATGGGGTTCCCAAGATAGTGATATTTTCCGGTATAAATGCTATCCTCCCAATGAGTGACTAAGGCTTTATTGATCCCAGTTCTGGAAGTCAGATGGAGTCCTCACCCGTCGTGCCAAAGCAGCACTGAGAGCAGGGCCAAAGCGGCTCTTTGCACGGATTCCTGCAGAGCAGCTCGCTTTCAGATCATCAAAGGAAATCCTTCTACAAGGTGGTACCCCCAGTTATAAGTTGGTTTATAATCCCCATTAACTATAGATAGAACCCCATAAACCCTAGTTATTGGACTTATCCGCCGACCCCTGCCGCCAGCAGGGGGAGCGCGTCAGAGGAGGCCTTACTAGCAACAAGATGCAAGAAGGGGCGAAGAGAGAACTTTGGACAGACGACGCAGGCCATGGTGTTTGAGCCCTGCGAGGGGGTTCCTTGACCGGAGCCGCGCCGGACGAAAGCCAGCTGTCAGACAACGCAGGCAAGTTGGCAGTTGGCAGTGCAGGAACGCAGGTAAAGTCAAGGTTTGGAGCTAGTTTCTAGTCGGTTCAGAAAGTAACGTTTGGCACTCTGGGCTACGGGCCGCGGGCCATAACCGTCCTCTCCAGGAGGACACGAGCGGCAGTTGGCAGTGCAGAAACGCAGGTAAAGTCAAGGTTTGGAGCTAGTTTCTAGTCGGTTCAGAAAGTAACGTTTGGCACTCTGGGCTACGGGCCGCGGGCCCAATCCGTCCTTCACTGCCATGGTGTTTTAGCCCTGCGACACGGTCCTTGGACTCCAGCTTGGACCGAAGCTGTGCAGAACGAAAGCCAGCTCCAGGAGGGCACGAGCGGCAGTTGGCAGCGCAGAAACGGAGGTAAAGTCAAGGTTTGGAGCTAGTTTCTAGTCGGTTCAGAAAGTAACGTTTGGCACTCTGGGCTACGGGCCGCGGGCCCAACCCGTCCTTCACTGCCATGGTGTTTTAGCCCTGCGACAGGGTCCTTGGACTCCAGCTTGGACCGAGGCTGTGCAGAACGAAAGCCAGCTCCAGGAGGACACGAGCAGGGTGGCAGTTGGCAGTGCAGAAACGCAGGTATTGCCCGCACGATAGGCCAACATAGGCCAACATAGGCCAACATAGGCCAACATAGCCACAAAATGGGCCCACATAGTTGGGCCCCTGGCCGGCTGTCGCGCGTAAGCGCCTAAATCCGGCCAGGGCCCCCTGGCCGTGTCCTTGCCGAAGGGGCCGCCGCCCCTTGCCGCAGACACCCCCGGCCGCCAAAAAACGTCGCGTTTTACGGTGTTTCGTGCTCTTCCCATTTTTCCCATTTTTCGGATCTTGTGGTTTAAGATGGGTCAACATGGGCCAACATAGGCCTACATAGGCCTCAAGATGGGCCAACATAGCCACAACATGGGCCAACATAGCCCCCAAGATGGGCCAACATAGCCCCAAGATGGGCCAACATAGCCCCAAGATGGGCCAACATAGCCCCAAGATGGGCCCACATTGCCCTCAAGATAGGCCAACATAGCCCCAAGATGGGCCAACATAGCCCCAAGATAGGCCGCCGACCATCAAAATATCCTGCGTTTTACAGCGTTTTTTTGCTGTTCCCATTTTTCGGATCTTTTGGCTCAACATGGGCCAACATGAGGCAAACATAGGCCAACATAGCCACAAGATGGGCCCACGTTGCCCGCAAGATAGGCCAACATACGCCAACATAGGCCAACATATAGCCACAAGATGGGCCAACATAGTTGGGCCCCTGGCCGGCTGTCGCGCGTAAGCGCTTAAATAAACCAACTTAGCTAACTATGGGGCACCACCTTGTAGTATTGCAACCAACAACAACCGTTTTTTTTGGTGCTTTCCAAGAGGCTAAAGATGATCTTAGGGGACTACATACTTCAGGCCCTTGCATTGCTGGTAGAATCTGTCAACGTAGCAATTGGGATGCATATCCAAGTAGTGTTACATCATGTTGCATGATATAACGCTTGACGATCAATTATGTAGAAGGACCCGTCTTTCATGACATGGATCATGGGTGTTTCTTTATGATAAACAGCCTCACATGGCTACTTGAAGGAAAAGTACAAGCGATGCCCACCTACAAAATAAAAAGGGGCATTAATGTGAGATCGTCCTACGCAAGCCCGGGCCAAATCTGCTATTGATGGACAACATCAAGATGGCTCTTCTCAGCTGCAATGAACAATGGTGTTGCACCTTGATTCTGTGCTTGATCTTTGTCAGCACCAACTTCCACCAAATGACGGACAACATCAAGATGGCCGTTCTGAGCTGCAATGAACAATGGTGTTGCACCTTGCTTCTGTGCTTGATCTTTGTCAGCACCAACTTCCACCAAATGACGGACAACATCAAGATGGCCGTTATGAGCTGCAATGTACAATGGTGTTGCACCTTGCTTCTGTGCTTGATCTTTGTCAGCACCAACTTCCACCAAATGACGGACAACATCAAGATGGCCGTTCTGAGCTGCAATGTACAATGGTGTTGCACCAGTATCCATGGCCTTATACTTGTCAGCACCAACTTCCACCAAATGACGGATAACATCAAGATGGGCGTTCTCAGCTGCAATGTACAATGGTGTTGCACCGTCATCCCTGGCCTTATCTTTGTCAGCACCAACTTCCACCAAATGACGGACAACATCAAGATGGCCCTTATGAGCTGCAATGAACAATGGCGTTGCACCGTCATCCATGGCCTTATCTTTGTCAGCACCAACTTCCACCAAATGACGGACAACATCAAGATGGCCGTTCTCAGCTGCAATGAACAATGGCGTTGCACCGTCATCCATGGCCTTATCTTTGTCAGCACCAACTTCCACCAAATGACGGACAACATCAAGATGGGCGTTCTCAGCTGCAATGTACAATGGTGTTGCACCGGTATCCATGGCCTTATCCTTGTCAGCACCAACTTCCACCAAATGACGGACAACATCAAGATGGCCGTTCTCAGCTGCAATGTACAATGGTGTTGCACCGGTATCCATGGCCTTATCCTTGTCAGCACCAACTTCCACCAAATGACGGACAACATCAAGATGGCCAAAATCAGCTGCAATGAACAATGGTGTTGCACCGGTATCCCTGGCCTTATCTTTGTCAGCACCAACTTCCACCAAATGACGGATAACATCAAGATGGCCCTTATGAGCTGCAATGTACAATGGTGTTAAACCGTCATCCCTGGCCTTATCCTTGTCAGCACCAACTTCCACCAAATCACGGACAACATCAAGATGGCCGCTCTGAGCTGCAATGAACAATGGTGTTGCACCTTGATTCTGTGCTTGATCTTTGTCAGCACCAACTTCCACCAAATGACGGATAACATCAAGATGGCCCTTATGAGCTGCAATGAACAATGGTGTTGCACCGTCATCCATGGCCTTATCTTTGTCAGCACCAACTTCCACCAAATGACGGACAACATCAAGATGGCCGTTCTCAGCTGCAATGTACAATGGTGTTGCACCTTGTTCTGTGCTTGATCTTTGTCAGCACCAACTTCCACCAAATGACGGACAACATCAAGATGGCCGTTCTGAGCTGCAATGAACAATGGTGTTGCACCGGTATCCCTGGCCTTATCCTTGTCAGCACCAACTTCCACCAAATGACGGATAACATCAAGATGGCCCTTATGAGCTGCAATGTACAATGGTGTTAAACCGTCATCCCTGGCCTTATCCTTGTCAGCACCAACTTCCACCAAATGACGGACAACATCAAGATGGCCCTTCTGAGCTGCAATGAACAATGGTGTTGCACCGGTATCCCTGGCCTTATCTTTGTCAGCACCAACTTCCACCAAATGACGGATCACATCAAGATGGCCGTTCTGAGCTGCAATGAACAATGGTGTCATCCTGTGATTTCCTAGTGGGTCTTTTTCAGCAGCTGCCTCAAGCAAAAGCAGCATGCTTTCAACATGTCCTTCACTGGCAGCATAGTGCAATGGCGTGTTGCCATGTTCGTCTGTGACATTGGGATTGGAAGGGCTATTAAGGAACTTTTCCAGGGCGATCAAATCATTTTCCATAGATGCAGAGATCACTTGTTGGCTTCGTTGAGCATCAGCTGGATAAAAATCCAATACCACCATCTGAAGCTTCACTGGAGCGGAGCTAAAAACCTCATCATCCGGGATCTCAGAACCATCTTCGGAGAAGAGTCGTTGTTTGAATCTGATGACACCAATCTGAACTGCCAAGGTTTGTTTCACAGCCTTTGCAGTCTTTCCTTCGAATTCATCCGGGGCAAGGGCTGCAAGAGTCGCACCTGACAGAAAACACACCTCCATTGCGGCAGTGGCGGACATGCAAACAACCTGTAGTTAGACATGTTCAAATGTGTAAAGATATCTCAAGAAAGTTTTGACGAAGCAATGTACAATGTATATAGATTTATGTTTGTGGAATGTATTGCCATCAACGCACGTACCGTCGACAAGAAACATCAATGGCGTGGGCATTGTCCTTTCCCTGCAGCCAACATCAAATAGACATGACTCACGATTGTCTACGCAAATAGCCTGCACCAAAAAAAGATGATCATGAACATGTGCAAAGTTGTGCTACCAAATTTGCCAAGCATTATCCCACCCCATGTTAGCTACCAAATCTACTTTCTACACAGAATTATCTATATTTTGATAAATTGGGATCTTTATTTTAGCCCATGATACCACAATGGCAAGGATGAACATCCATGAGCAAGCAACTATTTCAATGTGAACACAAGGGTACCTGGGTTCTGAGGACTGTCTCTGGAGGACTGAGAAATATACCTGCCACACTCTAGTACTTTTATTTTGACGATTTACCCTCTGGTAAACTAACATAGCTATGGAAAATCACTATGTTTAATGGAAAAATCCATTATAAATGGCCATGTTCAATAGCTATGTAACAAATTACCAGGTAACTTGGTCCCCATGTTAGCCATTCGAATTGATCGGACAATGGAATCCCACTACATCCATCCCACCATTCTCTGAAAATTACAGTCACACCCATATGGCAGTGGGTCGAATTCTTAAACATCCCCAAAATGAACAAACCCATATCAATGGGAATTTCAGGATGCTAAATTGGAGGCTACCATATATATATATATATATATATAAGGCCTATGTAAGGGCTATGTAAGGGAATATCCCCAGAAAATATGGTCTTATATGGTACAGTACCTCCATTTTAGGATCCTGAAATTCCCATTGACCATAGGGTGTCCACACATAGGGCATAGTGGATATCCCAGAATGACCAATTGAATAGAGCGGATGATCAAACACGAGATCAAACATGAGATGTTGGACCACAATATCTTGAGACTAACATGTACTCAAACAAGCTCCGTGAAAATCACTTCCTCATTTCAGCAAATGCTTGGTCCAACCGGCCTAGCCGATATGATTCAAACGAAAAATCTGGGAATTTTGTCCCAGTAAGCATTCATCGAAACCATCGGACGTTCATCACCTAATATGTTTTGAACCTGCCAGAGAAAAGGTACCCTCTGGTAATTTAACATAGCTATTGAAAATGACAATTTATAGTGAATTGTCCCATGAAACATGGTGATTTTCCATAGTTATGTTAGTTTACCAGAGGGTATTATCTGTGACTCACATCTTAGTCGAGTCTGAAACCCGCGATAAGTATCCGAGCACCCTCCAGTACTCAGACATAACTGAATATCCACACATCTATACAGGAAGGGGCTCCCTTGTTGGCTAACTTAGCTTATTAACTAGGCTAACTAGAAGTTTTGGTGGATACATGGCTGGACAATACTCCAACTTCAAGGTGACGTGCTCTCTGATCAACTGGGATGTCGATCAAAAAATCGGAAAATTCCCATGGCTTTTCAAACGGGCTGGGCTCATCAGTCAAGTTGCCATTTTTCCATTTTCGGAACACATGGACCAACGCCTTTCAAAATACCATGACTCGGAGTCAACAACTTCATGGATTTTTGTTCATGGTACCACTTTTTTCGCCCATAGAAAGCTTGGCTATATCTTGCTGATTGGTGGTTTCAATCCCTCTGAAAAATATGCGAAAGTCAGTTGGGATGATGACATTCCCATATATGAATGGAAAAAATATCAAATTCATGTTCCAAACCACCAACCAGATAATATTAATCATTGATTATCATTATTAACCATTATTAACTATTATTAACCAGTATTAACCACTATTAACCACTATTAACCAGCAATATTGTCCTTCATGAACCTCGAAAAACCCAACCGAAATTTCTCCAACGAAACACCCGCAACATGTCCAGACGACCTCGGGCGAGTCCAAGGCAGTACGAAGCACTTCCAAGGCGTCTTCGTCTTCAAGCTCTTGGCCTTGCTGGATTTCTTGGAAAAACGTCAGGCTCGTTGCCAAGAGATAAAACTACCACATTGACGTGTATTGATTATATATATATATATACATTTATTTAGTTATATAATATCACATACAACATCATACAACTATAAAGACTATAATCATATTTATTTGTGTTTGTTGATGTTTATTGACGTTTATTGATGTTTATTTCATGGAAAATCTTAGAATCACATGGATGAGAACTGGGTGTACATCCATGCCTTTGGAAACCTCCAAATATCACTGGGTATATTTTTTAAAAGCGACAGCCACGACCTCATCATAGATGATGTTCCATGCAGAACCCGTATTAGATCGTCCATGGCAATTAACCGATAAAAATGGTGATTTAACCAAACAAAGGGTTATATTTTATGGGAATATCATGAGGATAATCTAATCATACCATCCAACTATTATGGAGTCACCATCCAATTAAATGGACCATGGCTTCCATGGTTATGTAACAAATTACCAGAGGGAATACTAACTGTAGTAGATAACAAAACTGGTGGATAAGTTTCAACCATAATAGGACAAATGATGTGAACCATACTAATCTCCATACCAACTGTAAAATGTGGATGATTAAAATGACTAGTTACCAATTACGAGCTACCAATTGGACAACAATTGTTCATGGCATTAGCTGCATTTGATGAGTTGTGTGTATGTCTGTTCACCAAATACCAACTGGATTTTACTGGATAATGATTACTGTAATCTGAACTATATATATATATATATACACATCGTATGTATACGATGAATTGGGTAATAATTCTAAGTCCATGTTCAACCCCCACCGCATAAATCCGGCATCTCTTATTCATGTTAGATATTCGGTATTCACCAAAGATCTAGTAAACCATTAAAATGTGAGAAGACACCAAGTGGATGTAGTACACACGAGTGGTATTCAAAAAGAATGCACCGTTTTACCATCAAACCAGTGGGACTTTCCACAGAAAAAAAATGCGCAAAAAAAGAACTCCTGAGCCGCTCGGACAGTGGCCAAGCAAATGCGCCAGCTGAATCATCGATCCTGGACATGGGAATTGGTTCATTTTGGCCATCCCAAAAAGCTGGTGTACAGTAGATCTCCTTAAAAATCCCAAAAAAAAACACAGATTTTCCAAACAAACTGGGTACCCGAAAAATTGATTTTCCAAGCGAAAATGGTTCCCAGAATCGGTTCCCTGAGTCTCAACTGTTTACCAAAAGCATAGGTGAATACTCCATGTTTCTGGTTGACCTGGTCAGCATTCTATGGTCAAATTATACCGATGTTTGATAGCATTTTAGGGTGAAAGCATTCACTTCTAATGGTGGATGCATATTACATCTATACATGCATCGTATTAATGACGACAATAGCAGCAAAGGCAATAGTACTAATAGCAATAAAGGTACTGTATATAATGACACCAGATATGTTAAGAGTTAATATGTATATAACAATAACGACAATACTTGGAAATAAATGGAAATTATGTATATGATATGATGTAAATAATCATAACAAGATGCAGCAGCAGCAGCAGCAGCAGCAACGACAACAACAACAACAAACAACGACAAACAACAACAACACCCACAACACCCACAACCACAAGCAAGAAACAGCAACCAACAACAAACAAAATACACAATTAATATATATATATATATTAAACATTACAAATATGTTTTTTTTACATGCATTTCAATCAAATATAAGTCTATATATCTACGTATATATATATACATATATAGATAGAGATATCAATACACAGATCTGATCATTCTACATCCCTCATCTCCCTATAAGGCTCGTCCCTCAGCTCGTCGCTTCGTTAAAAATCGCAAAGCGCGCCTGCGTGGTCTTGGCACAGCTGCCGGAGCTCCAGCAACTTCCCGGCCATCTGCTGGCGCAGCTGCTTCCTGGCACGGTGCTTTGGAACGGCTTTGGAAAGGTCGGGGGGTTATCAATTCCTAATGTTAAATTTATAATCTAAGATAATAATATATATATATGTAATTATATATACATATGCATCAAGGGTATATCTTCATATCATCTGGTTGGATCTGGTTGGTTGAGCCCTACCCCTCTGAAAAATATAGGAGTTCGTCAGTTGGGATGATGACATTCCCAATATATGGAAAAATAAAAATGTTCCAAACCACCAACCAGGTAATATAGTGTGAATATATGGCTATCGGTCAAGACCCTGGTACCCTTCTCTTCACACCAAAATAGGTGGCTGACACATTATTAAGTCTCTAAACACCAAGGTTTAAACAAAAACTTGAAGGAATCAGGATTCAAAGTTTCAAAATATTTGGAAGTCTCATCTTCCTGCTAAATCTAGTCATGTAAGGATCCAAAGGTTCGATTTTTGTCGAATCTGGCGCGGGCGTCCTGGCTATCTCCACAGCAGCCGGCAGCATTCCAGGAGGGCAATCCTGCCGTTCACTTGAGACTTCAGGTGGTTTTTTCTATGGTTAGGGGGGGATAGAACGATTTTTGGGGTGAACGAATTTATGACTGGGTCTCTTACAAAAAAAAACCTTGCTGGGGCTTCCCGTGTGGCTCCGTGGCGAAATCCCGCACTGGAGGTCCATCAACTCCTCCGCCAACGTTGCTGAAGTCATGTTGCAAAGGCATTGCAAAGCAGCCTGGCTCTGCGGTCGTGAGGGAAAAACCATATGGCGTTGTCTGAAAATGTGGGATTTACATGGATTTACCTCAAATAGTAATAATTTAATAATGAAAAGAACAATCATATTGGGAAAGCGAAAACCTCAATTTTATGGCCATGAAATGATGATCAACCATCAAATCCAGGAGGCTTCCTACGCAGTCCTTACGCCAGGTAAAACCACACCAAAAGCAACATCCAGTTTAACCTGTAGATAAACGCCTTCATGTTCAAAAAAAAGGTACTATAGCTCATATGAACAATTGCCTCCCAATTAAAAAGAACATCTTCAAAGAAGGAACACTCTTGGGAGTTATACAGCCGCACTCATCAAAACAAATCAAGACACCAAATTGGCAAATTTTTGCTAGGGGAATTTTCCCCAAAGTTCCAGAAAAAAAAAAAACTCCCAACTGTCTGGACCACTCCAAACATCCAAGACACGTTCCCAAAATTTGGTGGTTATGCCGTATCCTCACTACTACAGTCTTGATGTTTAAACAGCTTGATCCCATAAAACGCTTATATAATCAGCAACTAACCACTACTGTGGGTTTTAAAAAAAAACAAGTTCCATATCTGTGGGCCTGAATATATATATATATATATATATACGAATATATTGAATATATGATACTATCATATAATTTCCTGGATAATCCACCTGTGCGCAAAAATATCGCTCGAAATCTGTTTCCCCCGTTTCAGTTTCCACATTTTGGGTTCTTGATGTTTTCGCGGTTTCGTCGGTTTGTTTCGCCGTTTCGTTGGGTTTTTGTTGCCGTTTCAAAACCGGCAAGCACATTCAAAATGACAAAATACAAAAACTGTTCAGAGGCAGAAAAAATGCCGCCAGCAATACTTCCTGAAAAGGCAATCATTTGCATTGGAAGACGCTGGTACTTTTTTTTCTCAGTATATGTAACACTCTTTCATCCATGGTTGTTGAATATATTAAATATATTATATAATATATTAAATATATTGCATATATTGAATAGAATATATTGAATATATTGAATATATTAAATATATTGAATATATTGAATATATTGAATACAAGTTGATCGATTGGTTTTCTCAATTGGTTTTACCCTGTTTTACCCTCCTTCAATCCCATGCATTCTCTCAAGTTGATCGAAGCATCCTCACCTTCCGCAGCTCCTGCTGCGCAGCTTTCAGGGCCAGGGCCAGAAGCTTGGGCACGGCATCCAGCTTCAGGAGCGCCAAGGCCTTGAATGTGAATTGGGAGAAACACTTATGAGAAAATTTGATGAGAACTGATGGATTTAAATTGGATTTACAATTTATCAGAAACATTGAAGAGTGAGAGTGAACTCACCCATAAGGGCCATTCGTAGATCATGTCTGAATGGGAAAGAACCATGGATTTCCAGAGCTTTTTGTGCCAGACAATCGGGAGTTTTATCAAGGAAAAAAGTGGAACGGCAACAACAAAAAATCGTTGGAAAGAATATAGAAAGCATGGTTTTGGGAAAGTCTGTTTTTGACCATAAAGAATATCGGGTGTTCCTGTTTCTGGGATGTTAAACAACAAGAATTGGATTTCACCCAACAAAAATCGGGGACTTGTTTGATGAAGATTCAGGAGTTAATAAGCCACAACATATGGCAGAATCAATCACCAAGAATGAACTTTACAGTATGTCACATTAATCTTCACACAAATTGGGGTTTAAGCAGTAAAAATTGGGATGTCACGAGCCAGCAGTGGGATGTCGCCCCTCATCTTCGTCACTGATTGACCAACTGTTTTTACGACAAATGAAAAAACCACTTCCGAAGTGACCTTGTGAAAAAACTATGATTTATTAACATCTTTAAAAAATATCTGATTGAATTTGTTTTACTATGTTTAACATTAACCTCTTAAAAAATATCTGATTGCTCTCCCCAAAAGGCCAACATAGATCTGCCAACTAGGGCATTGGTAGATTAGTTTCTACTACACATGAAATTCAGGGCGGAACTGGTCATTTTAGGGAGGCTGGTAATATTATGAAATTATTATAACATATTATAATCTCATAATTATATATTCAGAATTACCATCTTATAATCTCAGAATTAAGATTAATAATGATTACAGTAATACAAGCTATAACATCTGATAATCTTATGAATACAAGCACTTCTTAACTCAACCGAACAACGGAACAAAAAAAGCGCCTGATGTCTCTCCAGAATTGCCCGGCGGATCTGATCGCAGGCATCTAAAGCCTGTTGAACAACGGTAGCCATGGGATATCATTGGAATATCATGGGATTATATCTTGGATATCCCATGGTATTATATCTTGGATATCCATGGAAGTTTTTTTCGCCCATTTTACTTGGCTATATATCCCATATATGATATGGAAAATAAAAGCCATGTTTGAAACCACCAATCAGTAAAGGATCCATAGATCATCCCATTATATTCCAATGATATCCCATGATCCTTTATGATCCTGGGATTATTTTGGGTTTACTATGGGATGATCATGGGATTATTAGGGCTACTAGCCATTGGTATATTATGGGATTGTAAAATATTACAAATATAAGCACTTGATATTAGGGCTACACAATGATCATGGGATTATTTTGGGATTATAAAGGGGTCATAAAGGATCTACTGCCCTTTCAACAATGATTCAATCACGAAATATGGATTTCTAGTGATTCACAGATGGAGTGTACGGAAATCCCATAGAATTCCATTATATATATATACTTTATATATACAATTCTATGATTCCATCTTATCGCCATAGTTACTTGTCGGTGGAAATTTACATGCTCATCCCACTCATCCCAGGCAACATTTGAAAGCCTCAAGTCCAAAGTGACTACATCATGGTATAAAATACTGATTTAGTAAATGAATGGTAAAATTGCTATTTTATACTACTAAGTGACTATTTTATACTACTATACATCATGGTAAAACATCTGCAAATGAATATATAGTATTGAAAACCACTAAAAATACATGAAAAAAATACTGATTTTCCATAGATATGTAAACGTTTACCAGAGGCTACTGGTAGGCTAATGGCATCATTACTTTGGTGGTTGAGCCCCCTCTGAAAAATGATGGACGAATCGTAACAATTGGGATGATGACATTCCCAATATTAATGAAAAAATATATAAATGTTCCAAACCACAACCAGTAAATCATCTGCAAATGAATAGTGTTTTTTAAAAATTGGAATGGTCGTTCCATAAAAAAGATCTGCTTGTTTAATTAATGATTTCCCAGTGGATTGTGTTTTCTTCCATGATAATCCCCAATATTTTTGAAGCGGTCTTATCATCAACACGCGAACTTATCATCAACAGGGGTCTCTCACAAGCACTGCTGAGTTGTGGATGTGATGTTTTTCCAGCCCTCCGAGGTAAACCTGGTGTTGAATCCCTGTTTTTTTCCGCCTCATCGCTGTTGAGCCGCTCTAGCAGTTGGCTGGGGAGCGACTGATCATCTCCTCTGAGTGGAAAATTGGGAGGATTCCCATCAGTGTCTCTGAAAAACCAGCAAGAATGGTGAAAAACGCAACAGTAGATCATGAATTATCTAAAAATTTATGAGTGATCAGTATTTTTTATTGTTATCAACAATATTTATCAATGGATCTACCAATTTTTATTTTTACAAATAATATATATATACATATATGTGTATTTACTCATTCATGGAATTTCCCTGTGATTTTATCATGGTAATCTTGGCCACAACAGTGGGCGAGGTCTCCACGAATCCACCAACCTGCTGGGATCTTTCCTTGTACCCCTGTAGTTCACATCAAAATAGCTGGGATTTATGGATGTGAATAACCCCCTAAAAATATCTAAAAATGGTATTAATAGGTATTGACCCATACCCACATATCTCCAACAACATGGCCAAACATCGATCTGTCATCCACACGGGCTTGGCAAATTATAGCTGGTTGGTGCTGAAATAAAAAAACCATCTTGAAAAATGATGGAGTGAAAGTCAATGGGAAAGATGACATCCCATATATGATGGAAACATAATCCAATTGTTCCAAACCACCAACCAGATATATTAATCATTGATTATCATGATTAACCATTATTAACCACTATTAACCACTATTAACCACTATTAACCACTATTAACCACTATTAACCACTATTGCCATGGAAGTTAACCACTATTAACCACTATTAATCATTAAAATCCATGGCAACTTCCCAACTCCAAAATCGGCGGCGTGAGCTCATCCCCTTGCGGACGTCCCGAAAAAAAAAAAACAAGGCCGCAAGGTCCCCCCACGCTGGCTCTTCTGCATGGAGATCTCCTGCCGGGCTCCCAGACTTCACCAAGTTTAAGGCCAAAAACCATGGCAGTTTTCATGGATTTTATCGGTGATTGTCCAAAAAAGAGATGAGTCTCCCAGTTAAAAACCTCCATAGGGGATTTTCATTGGGATTTTCCTATGATTTTCCCATGGGTTTTCCAAATGTTCCCATTGTTTCATGGGATTTATGTTCCCATTGTTTCATTGGATTTTCCTGGATGTTCCTATGATGTTCCCATATGTTTCCCATATGTTCCCATTGTTTCATGGGATTTTAATGAATTGTCCTATGATCTTCCCATATCTGTTCAATATTTTCCCATGTTTCCCCATATGTTTTCATATGTTCAATGGCAATTTCAGGAACCTAAACTGGAGGTACCTACCATATCTAAGGCCTATTTTTCAGGCCTATGTAAGGGAATACCCCCACAAAAAATGGCCTGAAAAATGGTACAGTATTTCCATTTTAGGATCCTGAAGATCTCCCATTGATATGTTCCCCTTTTTTTTCAGATGTTTCCATATCTTCCATGGATTTTCCCATAGTTCCCCATATGTTTTCATATTTTTTTCCATATTTTCCATGGATTTTCCCATATTTTTCCATATGTTCCATGGATTTTCCATGGTTTCAACGGGATGTTTCCACCATCTTCGGTTTCAAAAACGGCGCCCACCGGCGCCTCGCGCAGCCTCCGCGCATGTTGCACAGCCAGGACGTTGCTGGGATCCGCCCGGGCCACTTGGGCGAAGTCCCGCAGGGCCTTCCGGAAACGACGTGGAAAACCCCTGGGAGAAATGAGGATCTGCTATATATGTGTATAATGATGATGTGGTTGCTAATGGATAATGCTGGTTATCAATGGTTAATACTGGTTATTAATGGTTATTAATGGTTTTGATGGTTGATGATGATGATGATGATGATGATGGTGGTGGTGGTGGTGATGATGACTAATTAAATGGTGGGGGAAAAAAAAACTCTTTAAAAAAAAGTTCATCTGTTGATGATGATGTTAAAAACAAGATTATGATGACTTAAGTATGATGATCAGTATGATCAGTATGATCAGTATGATGATCAATGATGACTAGGTTGATATATTTTAGATATGTGATACCCTCTGGTAATTTAACGTAGCTATTGAAAATGGCCATTTATAGTTGATTTTCCCATTAAAAATGGTGATTTTCAATAGCTATGTTAAATTACCAGAGGGTATGTGATATGTGTGTCTTCATATTTCCCACGTCATCCAATTTCCTTCCCACGCCATCCGGACCACGAAAGCCACGCTGTCGCCTCATCCCGTCGCCCAAGCTGTTCCAATGCCGTGCCGCGCCGGACTAAGGACCTGGGTTTTGGCGCCATGCCGTTGCGCGGTTACGGGATTTCGGGCCATGCAAAAGCCTGGAAAACTCCAGAGTTCGTTGGATATTCAAGCAGTAGAGGTGTGGTTTGTTTTCCCAAATATTTCCAACATGTCATTGCAAAAATAGCAATGTAATGCCTTTCTCATCTTTCTCCCCCATCTGCCGGTGACAAAAAAGGCAGCCCAGGCACTTCGCATGTTCCGGCAACAAGGCCAGGCATGCGTTGGCGTCGTCCAACGATCTCTGCCAGTCGCCTCAGTTTGGCACAGAAAAATCCTGGGAATTCTTGGGCCATCAACGGTGAAGCAATGTGAAGCATATGAAACCATCCATCAATTGGGAGGACAAAAATGGAATGTTGCACATGTCGGTACATAAACATACATATACATACATAAACCAAGGTATTTGCTGATGCATAAACCATGTCTAGGTGCCAAACAAGACATAAAATCATAAAGGGTGGGGAAAAACAGGTCCCTGTAGTTTCCACTGTATCGAAGGAATTCGAATTGTACCAGTCAGAATGGAGGTTTCTTGAAATGATTAGGATCCCCAAGTCATCATAGTTGTTTCAATACTAAGTCATACAGTCGTCATGGTCATCACGACTGGATGACTGGATGACTACCCCCCCTGGAAAGCTCCAGTCCAAGTCGCTGAGCTTCAGAAAGCATTGTGCCCTGAGGGACAGATGGGCAGATGGGCAGCCACCGTTTCCAGGGATTTCGAAGTCCCAGACTTTGACCCCGTAAAAACAGGGTCCCATGGGTCCCCAAAGGGCTGCTGATTCCCGCCATTTTTGGATCAACACAACTGAAAAAAAACTCAGATCCAACTAGCTCGGATTCGACTGAACCCTGACTTTTCATCAGGGGGTACCCCCCAAAATGGTGATTTTTATGACCATAGAAATTGGTACCCCCTTCTATTCACAAGGCAACATATAAAAACATTCCCTTCCATTCTCAGAGTCCCCATTTGGTCCCAGCGAGTCCTGAGACAGGTCCCAACTCAGCGCCTGTTGGACAGCAGCAAACCTTTTTGATCGGGAGGAATGTTCTCCGCAGTCTCCGCAATCTCCAGGCCAAAGGTGTATTGTTCCAGGGCCTCCTCCCACTTGCCCTCCTAGCGCCGATCTCCGGGATCTCACCGATCGATGTCTGGGGTCGACTGGGACCTCAATATTTGTGGTAAGTTTGTATGTAAAGTCGTCATTCTGACCCCACATGGCTATGACTTGTTATACCCCGAAAATCCCCGTTAAAGGGTTCAAAAATGGGATGTTGTTGACGGTCTTCTGTTTCTACTGCACTAGCTTGGACCTGGTTGCTACTGGATCATTCCCCCATCCCCAGCGGGCCATGTGAGTTTGCCGGAGGGTAGCCTTTTGATTTTTTGTGGTGCTTCCGCGGTCGTTGTTTTCAACACAACGACTTTGCCATGCGAAAAAGTGGCCATGACATGGCCAGAGTCCAAAAGTCCTTGAAGAGCTGGTTACCTGCTTCTTTCCTCTCCAGTGGACTCATGCTTCCCATTGATCCATGGCCAAACGCATTGTTGTTCAACGGGGATTTCAAGTTTCATTGGGTTTTTTGGGAAGACTTCATACATTTTTCTTGGTACAAAACATCATCAGACCATGATTTTGACCTTTACATAGCAGCTATCCTGGACAGATGTTCCCTCGAAATCTCTGAAACTTGGATTGTCAGAATCTTCGCAGCTGAGCCACAACGACAAATCGCCGTCTTGATCGCAGAGACATGGAGGGTCGGGACTTAGGGACCGAACCACACATCATATTCCATACATGTCCATGCCATCGACCATCCGATGTATGGAAAAACATTTACCAATCATTCACCTGCATCAATAACTTGAAACTTGTGTTCAGGAAAACCATGGGCTGTGCGCAGTGTGCGCTTATTTACACGCGCTTTGTGACGTGGGACTGGCCAAGCCAAACACTGGGCCATTCTGCTCGGTTTCACTCCACAGGAGCTCCACACGAGTCACTAAGTGGCCCCCACACTTCCTCGCAACTGGCCACCAGTCGCCTGAAGCTGCAAATGCTGGCTGTGAAATCACCGAATTCCATGGGGAAAATATGGAAAAATATGGAAAAGTGGTTAATCATGGTTAATAGTGGTTAATAATGTTTAATAATGGTTAATCATTGGTATATAATCAATGGGAATTTCAGGATCCTTATATATATATATATATGCTAGGTACCTCCAATGAATCGCTTCCTGAAGATCTCCCATTGATATCAAGAAAACATGGGAAAACCATGGGAAACATTGCCTATCACATTGCCTATCAGAGTCGAGGTTTCGTCAGCTGGGACAATCATCGAAAAAAAGGCCATTAAAACCAGCACACCATGGTTGATTACCGGAGGCTATGTGGTGATTCTACATTGGAAAACACAATCTTACACATCATAATTGCTGTATGGAAAATGAATGGACATGAATGTATATATATCATGATCATGATCCTGACAGTCAAATCAAACGGCTGGTATAATCTGCTACCAATTCAGGGATCAAATGAGTCAGTTGGATTTTCTGGGTCTCCCAACTCCCAACACGTTATTTTCTTGGAAGTGGTACGAGCGCGTCACCCTTTCTTCTTGGTGCCCCACTGATCCCCCCGAAAATAACCATGACAATTCCAGGACAACCTGTGATGAGGGAGTTTCCTAAAATAGGGCTACCCCCAATCATCCAAAGTTTGACCATTTGTGTACTGAAACAGACTGAAACCCATGGTGACTTGGGGCACCCCATTTTTGGAAACCGCCACTTTCAAGAAACGGTTGAATCAATGGGAATTTCCATTGGAAGCATTGAGACTTCTGGCCTTCAAGTGAGAATTTAAGAGATGGAAACACATTTTTTTTACGTGATTTAAACAAGAATAAACCATCTCCCAAATCGCCATAAATAGATTTAGATAGGTGGTATAAGGAAATTCCCAAATGGGTGGTTTGTGGCAGTGTTTTACCCACATATATCCACAGGCTTCAAACATGAATTGAAGGGACCAGTGGCTGGTCATGAGTCATGGTGAAATCCTGCTGTTGATAAATACCAGAAGTTGAATCCACTAACTTCTTGCTGGAAAAGCCCCACTGGGATATTCGATTGTTGACAAATCTTCAATTCTTATCTGTTTGGTGGTATACCTACCCCTCTGAAAAATATGAAAGTCAGTTGGGATGATTATTCCCAATATATGGAAAAATAAAAAATGTTCCAAACCACCAATCAGTTATTGAATCTTCCAATGATTCTTATCAAATCCCAGTCCTTTCGCTGGTGAAATGCCATGAAATACCAATTTTTGCCAGCCACCTTCACCCATTTCACCATGGCACCCGAAGCCGTCATCGGTGATACGCTGCACGAAGCCGCATTCAACCTCGCCGTTGGCATCCCAGCCTTACACCGCATGCCATGGCATGGGTGCACCGAAAAAGTGGAGATGATGTATACAAGGTGGTGCCCCAGTTCGTTAGCTAAGTTGGTGAACAACTTAGCACCAAGAACTATGGTTTATGGTAGATATATATATATATATATCTAGTTAATGGGATTGTACACCAACAAACATCACTGGGGGGGCACCACCTTGTAGCACCCCCCCCAGTTATAAGGTGCCAAGTTCAGTGTGCCACCAGGATGGCAGTTCGATTACATATTTTTTCAGCATCTGGGGGTTGCTATAGTTGTTGATCGTACCCCCAGTTTTTTGATGGAGGTATGATTGGGATATAATTCAAGGGATTCTACGAGATATGTAGGGATGTATTTGATAAGGATCTAATTATATATTGATATCTAATTCATGGAACATATTTCATGTTATATATATATACATATGCCAACAGTATGATATTTGAGTGTGTCCGAAAATGCCTGCATTTCATATATCCATAACTACTCCGATAAACTACCGGATTTTGCATATCCCAATTTTCAGACATACCCTTATGATCCCTTATGGTGAACATCCACTTAAAATCACTTATATAAGTGATTTTGATCTTACAGAAACCCAATGAAATTGGATTGTGGAACTATGATGAACTTCGCGGCATGTTTAGGATGGTGAGAAAATATTGGAAAAACATGTTGACTCAAAAGAGCAAAAAGGGGAACAAGTCCATGCAGCAAACCGTGGTTATTTAGAAAGTCTTTTTCACCAGTCGGAGGTGAAGCAATTCCCGGAAAGTGGAGACACCAGCCACCTGGGTTTTCCGGGCCGATACTGAACTCACACTTGTTCCTGTAGCCCTCCAAGCCTCAAGGCTTGTAACTGGGCCAATTTTTGAGGTCAAAAAAACTTCCACATCACGTGAGATTGAGATTCTATGGGACCATGATTTATGGGGCTCCATAGTTCTGAGCTTCTTGATACCTCCCAATCCAAAACTCGCTCGGTAGCTCGGCAGTCCCATTGGATGATTCATGGGACAAAGAATCCATGGATCGATTTCAAGGACATGCAGGTTTGAACCCTGATTGAAACCATGAAAAATGCGGGTTTCTGTAGCTTCTTCAATTCTGGAATTATCATGAATTATCATGAATTATCATGAAGTATCACCATCAAATATCAAAGGTGAATAACTATAAGTGTGGCGTTATAACATTCTAAGCCCACCATTGGCTTGGGCATGATATTTCATGACTCGTTGGTGGTTTTAACCATCTTGAAAAATATTAGTCAATGGTAAGGATTATTCCATATATTATTGGAAATAAAACATGTTTGAAATCACCAACCAGAATGATATTTCAATGTGAGACTTGAGCCTCCCAGCTGTCTGCCGGAGTTCCAATGATGTCGTCCAGGGGACAGGCACAGCCCAGGGGTGCCTTGAGGCGAGCGTGGATGTCCCCATCATAGGATTATATATATATACAAAACATTGTAGAACTATAGGGCATGTTAATATGAAACAAAATATAACATGATATAACTGTTTTTGGGGGTGTGAGCAACTTAGTGTATCTTTATATATCTTAGTATGCTGATCATTCCAAGTTCCATCATGGATTTCCGTGGTGGTAAAGTCGCGTGCCGACCTTGCACCTGGACATTCATGGCCTTTTTTAACTAGCCAAAATGGTGGTTTTTGTGGTGATAGCATGGGATATTAATCATCCTGGATCGCCCGTTGATATTCAATACCCCGAACGACCCCCTGGTAAAAACGTATTGGATCAGGCGTCATTTTGGATGTCATTTTGGAGTATCATTAATAGGTGGTATTAAAAATTGGGGGAAAGGGATTTGTTGATTAGTCACATCTTAATGGACATTCAATTCCGCTATCCTAGGCTTGTGTGTCTACTCATACCTGTACACCCAACATCCGGAAAAGGACAGAACCCCATCAAACCAAGAAAGAATGTAGGTGTCCTACCAAGGTTTTTAAACAAGTCCAGGGATGTTCTCTGTCTCGGGATGATTTGCGCGTGAAATCCCATGAAATCCCACGCTTCGGTGGCATAGGAACCAATTTCACACCTCGTGGCATAGTTCAATTTCATCACAGAAACTTCTCTAAACTCTAAACGTGGAGCTTAGACCCAAAATGGGGTTACCCCCAAATTCTCCATGTCGTTTTGGGATTTTCCCGAAAACTCTTAGCTGTTGGGGTACCCATTTATTAAACCCCCAAGTTCCAGGACCCAGGACGCCCTGCTCCGGATGCTTTGGACCAAGCATGGCTGGTCCACGAGGGCTCCGGCTGGTTGAGGTCCTGAAGCATTTTTCACATGCGTGAGGGTACATGGAATTGTTTATGGATGTTTATGGGAATTGTTTATGGAAGTGTTTATGGAAATCAAACAATCAGTTGGGAATTCTATATCATTGCAAAGTTATAGAATTACAGGAAAACAAGATCCCATGACTTAACGTTCAATGACAAAGTTGTATGGTCCAAAAGCATCCAAAAGCTCCATAATTGTTGGTTATTTAGTCCAATTTCGCGCTAGCTCAATCGCTGTTGCTGCACCTTGCACTTCTGTGCCACTTGCTTTGTGAAAGCTCTGACCTTGGGTCCCAAAAGAAATGGAAATTGGTGACTTCACCGTGCCTGGGAAACATCCGAGAACATTCGCAGAATGGACTGTTGATTAGGCCTTTTTTGGGGCGGCTGGATGAATCGTCACTTCATTGCTTCGTTTCCTTTTATTGGTAAACACCCCAAGGGTCAACAGGGTCAACAAGTCAAGCAGGTCCTAAGCCGTCACTGTCTGAAAATGGGCTTTTCTTCACTTATCCCAAACAAGAATTTTACATGTAACGACCGGGAAAATGATAAACCATGTATAAACCAATGGGATGTTTCTCTGGTTTCATCATAAACATCGCGAAGGAAAATCCCCAAAAAAAAAACATCGTTTTTTGGTGGAGTTTTCAGCCAGGAGCCCGCACAGCTGTCTTAATGTGGGTGCTTTTCATACCTGGGAGGCCCGGAACATCCAGGAAGATCCAGCGTCCTGGGAAACCCCCAGTTCCCCATAGACAAATACCATGGTT